AACAAAGCATTTTCAAGTAGGTTTTATTTTAACACTAACTTTGAAAGCCTGCTGGAAGCAATGTACTAAGCAGCAATGCATGGACTGCTAAGATCTCAGCTTGAAATGCTTGTGCAAGAGCAACATTAAAAAGAAAAGCGTAATAAATCTTCTTTTGTGATGATAAACTTTTGCTCTGTCCTATTTAATTGCAACAGGGAGTAACCACTAATTATTAAGTCATTAGAGAAATGTCACTATAAACAGATTCTTGTTTTTTTCTGTATCAATGTGCATGTCATACTGAGAAATTCAAGCTCCAGTGATAAACGGGGAGATCCAATGGAATTAATAGCAAACAACTAGAGAGTTCTGCACTTTTACTGTTGCCTGACATTTGCTGCAGTTGAAGGGAAGAAAGCGTGTAATAAATCAGGTTATTGTAATTTTTATCCAGTGCAATTAAGATCTAATTTCATGTCTGAAGGTTTGCTATTTTGAATTTGGGGTAGGGGAGGAGGGCAATCATTCCCAGTCACATTTGTGTGATTAAAAAAAGACTTCCAAGGAATTTTAATGACAACAAAAACCACAAGCCAATCTTTTTGTGAGGAAGGAGGGTTGCAGAGATTACAAGAGAGCATTGTGTATTCTGAAAAAGCCATCTGAAGCTTTAGCTTTTAAAGCTAAGTACTCTTAAGGAATAATGTTACAAGAGCATACTTAGGTTCTTTAAATACCAAGTCTGATAAGTTGATATTTCAAGACTACACGACAGGATCTAGAAAATACGTTCTGAGGATTACAAATATATATTTTTAAAGTGTTTATGAAAGGCCACATAAATGGACTTAATTTTCTAATTGGTGCTAAAATTAGATACCTAAACAATTACATAGCTACGGGGTCTAATTTATGTTTCAGAGACGCTGAGTATCCAATGGGTCTTAATAATATCAGGAATTAAGTACACTAATGATCTGACTACCAAACTTTATGTCATCATTCTTAGTTTAGATTAGAGTTTGAGCGCATACTTCCACTTATTTTCAGGTAGTAAGAAACATCTCCACCTTTTTTCCCCTTCATCACTCATTGCTACTATAACACCACGTTTGTACAATGCCATTATATATTCTGTATTCTCATTATAGTTTTTCTTGGGAACAAAATATCAAAATTTGAATGTCTGATACGCGATGTCAAAGGTAGCAGATTTCTGCCGTACTCTAACCTTCTAAATATTCGATATTTGTATTGGCCAGTCATTTAACTTCAGTTTGACAGTTTGCCAGGAGTATAAAACAGATTTCCAGCCAATCAAATTATAGAGTAATTTAAAAAGTCAACATAATACAATATGCTGCTGGCTTTTTGAAATTTGATCTACTAAAATTCCAGTGCTTTATCTTTCCCAAGACAAAGAAACTCATTCTGGATACAGCGTAACCCCTCATATCAGCAGGCACGAAGTGCCAGAATATGTCTACCACCTATCCACGTTGCAATACAAATTAGTTCTTGTACCACTCATCATAGCAACAAGCTAGGAGCGTCAGCAGAAACCAATAAAATTCGTTTCTTTATCACGAAAATACCAAAAACATCTTTGTATCATTTACTGAAGTGAGATACTCTAACGCTGTGGTTCCACGCTGATGAGAACCAGAGAGTAGAAATTTGATCCAGATCACACTTGACCATACGGTCATACTTCAGTCAAATCAGCATTTACACCAGGCAGGAGATACCTGATCACCACAAAAAGTTACAGCAGTTTGCTCAAACGATACCTCATCCGGCATAAATCCTATCAGGAATAAGTTACCTTCACTAATTCTCTTAAACACATTTTATCTTCCTGAGTTTTTACAAGCCTTGCAATTTTTTACATCATGGTTTACCCATGATTTTTGGCAGTTCACTGCCCCACAGAACCCTGAAGCCTAAGCTCGTAATTTCAAAATGAAGTTAACAAAAACTTTGGCTTCTGGAGCTCTGCTTTCCGTGTCACAAAGCCTACTCTCCTTGTCATCACGGAAAAAATAACTGTTGATTTTAACAGGCATAAAGTAGGCTCAAGTTTTTAATGAAAACAGTCAAATAAAAATAGTTCTAACTGTAGACAAAACAACTCCACTTCTTTCTGTTTCAGTAATTCTGCTACTATAATGTAATTGGAAGACCCCTTGAGAACAGAACCAATAGAACTCCTGATGCTCTCAAACCTATTTATAATGACTTATCTGCTTGTAATTTAAAATGCAATTTTCTAGCTATTAAGATGACCTGTGTGCACAATATACTTCCTAACAACACATATAAGTCTTTATTTTGAGTAAGTAACAACTCCAATATGAAAGCAATTGTTAGAACAACACGGATATATTAGCTAGGTTGTGAAGAGATACTGCAGAACTCTCAAGCTGTCTTAGAACGTGTTCGAGAGGCAAAAACTCAGAGGTAGATCTTCAGGCAGCTCAAATGCTGACCCTGCCTATCAGCTTCTTTCACATCTCCTTAGCAAAAATGCACTTGGCATCATCATGTTATTTATCTTGGAAACGTCCTACCCTGTTTATTGCATCCTTTAATACAAGTGATGTAACAAACTGCACATGCGTGTCTTCGCACACCTCCGTGACTATAACCTCTAGCCACATTTGCTTCTGCACCTCTTTCTCGTGCTTGGGCTTCCATTTAGCTCTCTTCTGCCTTCCCTTTTAACCTGCTGACTGCTCCAGCTATTCTTCAGGACTTGATTTTTTAACCCCTTCAACAGCCTCTCCCTGTGTGTCCTCACCTGTTCCCAGTCTCTATTACCACCTAATGCTAGTACCTAGCAGATCTTTATTTCCATCCTTTGCCTTGTTTTGTCCCGGCTTGCACCTCCTCATGCGTCTCTGGCATTTGCTCACGGAAGTCCCGCTGTTTCCTCAAATTCTAAAAAGATATGCGGATCTCTACATACAGATGATACATCAGGGAAAACCCATCTGCTTTTCAAGAAAGCAAAACCTTTTGACTGCAAGGATTCTTTGAGGTTTTCTACAGAATAATAACCAAACAAAAAACAACCTCAGGCAATTAGTTTAAATTTAACAAAGCCCCTATGATTAGCGCATTTGAAAGAATAATTAAGAAATGAAAGATGAGCAGCCAATACAGGTTACAAACCAAGACAAATTCTCAAAGTATATGACTCAGCAAAAGTCTGAGCAAGGGGCAACCCGAGATCCCAAGTGGAGCCTTATTTTATTTAATCAATGTTTAAGAATAGGATTGGCAATGCAACGACAACTGCACATGGCAAAAAACCCGATTTGTGATAGTCCAGAAGAGAGAGCAACTGAGGAAGTTCAAAGGCACCTAGTGATGTAGCAGGATGACAAATACAAAGCACAGTTCAGAACCATGGATTTTTCACTTCAGAAGAAAGAGCTGTATATCACTGTGGCCAGAACAGAACTAAACAGTGTTCAACAGCCATTGAGAAAAGAATGAATTCAGTCTTTCTAAGGAGTGAAATAGAAATTAACAGCACTGTAAAACAGTGTGACCTCCTCAAACGCCACTGTGTGTTCAGGCCTACTCACCTTCCCTCAAGAAAGGTACACTTAAGCAGGGATTTATATCCTCTGGATGGAAAGTCAGACCTTCAACAGGCTTGGTTCAGATCACTTGAAGGTAATTGGGTACTCTCAGTAGAAAAACTATGCTCTCATACATTTTATCTGCTGCTTACTACCGTTAAGTCTGAGGTTCTAAGACTTTCACAATACTCTAATAATAGATCTGTAACTAAAATCAATAATCATTTTCAAGTCTTTTTAATAATCAGGCATAAATATTACATTAAAGGGAATTAGGGGATTGAACTCCTTTAAACCGCTCTAACGTACATTTGATTGCCTTTAACAGGAGCTGAAAGAAAAGATGGATGAGCTCCTGCCACTGATCCCAGTTCTGGAACAGTACAAAACCGATGCCAAATTAATCACCCAGTTCAAGGAGGAAATTCGGAATCTGTCTACTGTCCTCACTGGGATTCAGGAAGAAATTGGTGCTTATGACTATGAGGAACTTCACCAGCGCGTACTCAGTTTAGAAACCAGGCTTCGAGACTGCATGAAAAAGCTCAGTAAGTCAACAATTTCATGGCAAATTTGGTCCCTCGGCTGTGTATTTCCAGTTGTCTCTATAGAAAGATGGAGTTTTCTTTTTTCTTGTTTGATGAAAGACTGCATTATATTCTGATCTGTGCCACCCTAATAAAAGTCACGAGTAACTCAACCTAAGGTCAGTCATATCATTCTAAGTTTGCACCAGTGTATCTTACGTAACGATCTGCCCTACCATATACAGAAGGAATTAAGATGGAAAATTATTAACAGACAACGACTTTAAAATCTAAGAGATTTACAGCGGTTGGAGAGCTACGAATATTCTTTAAAAAAAGCTCAGACAGGCATTGCTACTTAGGTCATCTTTGGGATGCCAGCGTGAAAAAAACTTTAGTGGGAAGTAGACTGGAATCGATTTTGAGATGTCCACATCATAACCCTGTCATCTTGCTACGACACCCGAGAGGCCACTCTGATTGTACTGTCTTTAGACCTGTAACATGAGCATTAGGAGACACGTGCCATTCTACAATTTGCAATACGACATAATTAAGCGTTACACCTAATTTAAGGGAACAAAGCGTGATTTTTGTAGGAAGCACAGCAACAGTCTGTTGCGAGCACTGCACTAGATTTACACGTGGCAGCCTCCACCTTAGTTGCTCACATGCTGCCTTTAGTTAGAAAAAGTCAAATGATCAGCACCTCTGAAAATCAGCGCTAGCTCAGTATCAGCCACCAAAACTAAAAGCCTGAAGTATCATTATCAAGTGTCAGCCTTAACTTCCATTACCCAGAGAGGGACAATTAGTACCTTTACAATCACAATGCAAAGTCTCCCCCCTCCCCAATCTATCGGTGCACTGAGACTCCTGAATGGATCGCTATTGCAATCCGGATTGCTACAGCCAGCGATCCAGCCCCTCTATGAGAAATAAACGCTTTATAAGTTAACACTGAACACGAATAAACTAGAAGTTCCAAGGTTCAGTCCTGCGATCGGTATCTCAGTTATCAAGTGTGGGATGTTTGCTTTTAAATGCTACACGTGACATGAAATATGTTATTAACTTGATGAGCAGTGCCTGTTTTTTTGCGAAGCAATGGAATGAGAAAAATCTAGGTTAGCCTCTTAAATTATTTATTTTCAATTTCTTTATTTTACACTAGAAATAACAGTGATGATGGGCTAAAATACATGAAAGCCTTCTTCAAACAGAAATTTCGTATGATTCTATTTTCCCCTCAGTACACACACATAATAGCACATTACTGCATTGACAGGAGGCAGTCAGGAGAAAATGGCTGCGCTGCAATACCGCAGCAAGCAAGAAAATTCATATAAATAGACAGTATTTTCTGATAGTGAGTGTTCCAGTAAGTTTATTAGACACCAAAAGATCATTAACTTATCTTTAGTGAGTTTCTTGTTTTTCTTTGCTTTTACAGCATATTCTTGTAAAATTGATTAGCGAAGTGACTACAGTACAAGATACATTTTATACATTGGGATGAGTAGGTGTATTCACAGGGGGCTCTCTTCTCAGAAGTTATTTACTATTTCCCTATTTTTCATCCACGTTTCCCCTCCTATCATCCTGAATTTCTGCAACACATTCTATTTCTCTTGATGTGCTGATGTTAAAAAAAAAAAAAAACTATTAAAATTATGTGTATCAACAATAGAGGGAAAATTTTTGTATGAAATAGATTGTTAAGCACATCCATTATTTAATGGGGTCTGGCCTTCTCAAGCTCTAATACCGACTTACTCATCCTTATTGGCATTATTCCCTGGTCTTAGATGCTTAAATGACTTTTATGCTCACCTGCTAATGGAGTGGCTGTATTTCTGGCCTAACCCTTTGTGGCTTTTAAAGTAAAAACAGCTTCAGTTAGGCTTACCGTAACTCCTCAAAGCTGGTGCTGTGTGTTCAGATCAGCAGGCGTAAAGGAAAAACAGCTTTCGTGCCTACGCCTTCTCCCCAGCCACATTCACCACGCTGGAGATGATCCAGCTGTGACTGTCCATGCCAGTGTGATGGCCAGAAGCCCACGGCAGCAGAAGGCAGACTGGCCCCGATGTGCCACAGGATCTGGCTCAAATCTTCACAGATTTTGTTGCATTTCACAATATAATTATCTAACCGGCGTGTGTAATAGCTATTTTCCATTCTTCTCCCTAGCAGGTGTTTTTCAGCAATGTATTTGCATTATTTATACTGTCCTGGCCACTTAAAAGGGATCTTCCATCTGCACTGGCAACACTTTCAACACTCACTAACATAACAGTAAGCAGTTGTCTTACTTTCACTGAGGTTTAATGATGACCACAGCAGTTATGATGACTGAAACTTGTTCCTTCTCTTTGGAATAAGAGAAAATTCAGGCTGAAGCTGGTGAGAAATTTGTCCACAAAACTTCAAAAGGGTGCGTGCAATTAAACATGTAGGAATAGAGTGCACACACCACAAATTCACATACACTTGTGCACGTGTGGGTCCTTCGCTGGCCATCATCTAAGGCATGTGCATTTATAAGAGAACGCAGGTTGCACAGTCTGCTTGGGACCCTCCCGTTCTTGTTATAATGTGTTTATGAGATTGGAAAAAAATTGTATGGGTAGCATTCATAGAAGCCAATACTCTGCCAAATGTTGCTTATGAAATATGAAGAAATAATTAGAGTAGCTACACATTGGATTCATTTGTAGCTACATCTGATTATAATGTAGAATCTAAACAATATTTTACAGTAACATTTTTGGTTAGAAATTCAAAAGTAGACTATTCTATGTATCCAAAGAAATGCTGTTACATCAGTGGCAAAAGAAGTATTAGTGCAGGCACGAGATTATTTGATTGATTACAGTGCTACCTGTACTTCCAAAGCATCCTTCCCTTTGGAATTTGAAGAACTTTATAAATATCATTTAGTACAAAATTGTGCAATAGAGATATATATTGTTATCCCCATTTTGTAGATGAAGGAACCAGCAGCCCAGGAGAATAAATGACTTTCCCAAAGATTACACGGCAGGTCATTGCACACATACAGAAGAATCCAGAGGCTTCCTCTCAGCAAGCTCTAGTAACTATAGTGCTTCCTGGATTTGTATTATGTAGGACAACAGACATACACCCATTAAGAAAGAACTAGTTATTCATTCCCTCACATGACAAAGTAACGTTATGACAAATTTGACCATAAGCAGGAAAGTGCAAGTAGTAAAACACTTCGAAGTCATTTGTGCAACCACTGAAAAAAAGACCCACTCCATTTTCCCCTATTTATTACCTACAATAAATAGAATAATAATGCTTATGAACACTTCAAGAGAATGTTTTGATTTTATTTCCCTTGCAGGTCCTTCTATAAATCACACACTCGCTTGGTATACAAAGCAGCTACCAATATTCTTTTGCATCGCAGAGACTGGGGGCTATCAACTACCTATTGCTAGCTATCTTCAAAACAGCTCCTGTCCAATTGGTCTATCACAGCCTTCTCCTGGTATTTGCTCACTTTGGAGCGGCTTTCCAGATGTGTTCTGCCCCATAGACTTTCCCAGCCTACAGGGGTAGTACATCTACTTTCTTTTTCAATGGTCACTTCGTGCTCAACTTCTTCCTTAATATAAACAAACACAGGAAATCACAAATAGACTTACTGGAGTCCATGGTACAAAACCGTTACAAGAGATTAATCAAGCCACAAACGCCCAGCTGGTGCATGATATGATGTTCCTTCTACAGTTCAACTTAGGATGGATAAACACTCAGAGGTTTGATTTTCCAATTACTACCATCAGTTATGGTTGGGATTTTCTAATGGAGGCGGCTGCTTCTTTCAAAGTCAAGAGAAAGAGACTGAGTGCTTCTAAAAATCCCACTCTTTTTCTGTGTAACTCCATCTGAACCTCTTAGGGGTGGAAAAAATGTCTAGAAATATCTTTTTTTTTCTTTTTTCTTACCGTTCCTGAATTTCCTGACATTTGCTAGTATGGATATATATTTGTCCTACCTTCTCACGAGCATCTGGTCCTTCTCCTGACAGGGAATTAAAGAGCAGAGGTTTGCTATAAACCAAAACTTTTCAACCGGTAAAAAAAAGCTTTCCTGCCATCACAAGAGTTATTTCCACATCCTCATAGGTTCCCTTCTGCCAGGAAAAAAAGAAAAGAAAAAAAAAAAAGGAGGTTTTGGCCATGTTTAAAAAAAAAAAACAAAAAACAAACCACCAAGACGCATAGGCCAGTTTTAATTCTCAGCCACCTCACTGCTATGGAAATTCATAGCCCAGAAGTGATTCCCATTTCACATGGCATTTGTCTGTGGTCTAT